AGCAATATCGTCAAAAAGGCCCCTTAATTGCCCCCCCCCCCCGCAACTTCCGCAAGGGTAATTGGTAATTCGAGAATCTGCGTGAGGCGCTATCAGTTTTGTACCTAATAATAAAGGACTGCAGATCAGCAGCTGACTGAGGAAGAAGGTTGTATCGCATGCGTGGATATCTTCAGGTCATGGTCGTCCCCTAGGGGGAAAACGGCACGTTGTCACGGCTGGGTACGATCGACGAGGACTAGGGGAGTTATCCCTGAAGAAGGCGCATACGGTGCAGACTGCTCTTCTTTGCGAAAGATTGCACCTCTGATACTACTTCTGCATCTCTGTGTGTTGAACATCTGTGTGGAACCTATGATCTAAAAGCTCTTCACAGCTTTTCTGCCAGCTGTTGACCCGAATTTTGCAAGCTGTGGCGTCAGAATTTCTTCATTTCGCCTCAAATTCTGCCTCAAGACAGTTGTCATTTCAATGTAATTATTTGGTTAACAGACATCTAGGGTTCTCATTTGGGTTGAGAACAGTGTCACAAGCAGGATAATGTAAACCGCGGATCAATAACCGTACACTGTATTATTGAAAATGCGTATTGTACTGTTGCTGTGTTAAATGAATCTACAATAAATTTACCTGTGTTTCACTAAACTGTTACATTTCGCGTATCGCTCTGAGTTACCAGATGAAGTACAAGTACGATTTCTGTATGTAATTGTTTGTTATTGTGTGCCAATATTTTCTGTATCGATTTTCGATGTCATAACTTAACTGTATGTAAATTATACGAAAAGGTCAAAGCTTTCCTACCACTTGATATCACTAACAAAACGAACTTGGCTGACTACGATCAATGATGAGTTTCAGGCCAGAAAACAGCTAACTGTCCGTATCATCTTTTGATTGTTTGACAAGTTGGATTGGTGAAGCAGTAAGTGCACTAGGCGCTCAGCAATTTCCAATTCAAGCTTTGTGTTAACTGTTCTCATAGTGATTATTCCACCGGAGTTGCATATGATAGTTCGCATTCAGTGGTGTCAATATTGTTCACGCGTTTCCACAAGACTATTATTTAGTAGATTGTAGAATTTGAGTCAGTAACTGATAGAGACGAACATGCAAGGGCTTAAAACTGCTGCTCTTGGATTACCAATTCAAGGTGCGAACTACAATGAATAAAACCTTTTAATTTTATTGATGACTGCTTAGCTGTTTTGCCAGTGTTAACGATTGCGATAATTATTTTTTTTAAATGATTCTCAGCCCTTTTTCTAGAGGATTTTTTAAAAGCCAATCTCTTTCGCTGTCACGCATAATACATATTGTTTAGGAAAATTAGTTGCAATTAGCTATTCTTAACTATTTCAGATAGTGTTGGTGTGGTCAATATAGATAGAAGGTTCAATTACTGAGCGGTGAACAATAAGAATACGTTTGTGAAATGCGTAAATAGTATTGTAAGCTAGTTTGGGGTACTACTCAGTATTCTTAATGTTATGTTCTTGAACAGTCCACACAAATTCAGACACTCGGCCGCTGCTACCTGCTTATATTTCTCTTGTGGGTTTCACTTCTGGTGAGCTTAGATATTTCTATGTGTATTGACGCACTTCGTTTATTGCCCAAATCGCGGAGCACCCGTAGTGGTGTATATGCAATTTTAAAACATGAACTTAAGAACTAAGTGTTAAATAGGATTATTGCAAACTTTGCATGAATAAACATCCCTGCTGGAAACACCCTTGGACTAATCATCTCCTCAAAGTACCAATGCAACAATCAGATAGACTCACCTGTTCTACTCGAATTTCCCAATCACCGAGGATTTTCCTACCCTTGAAGTATTTGCTCCTAAAATGGAGAAAGGTAATTACACGTAACATTTTAATTTAACATAATGAGTTCATAGAAACTGGTATATAAACAGTATTGATTGTTTCTTGTTTTAAGGGAACCTTAACCTTGATAGACAACTCACCAGATTTTCGTCATATTATTCGGTAAGCAATTACGAGAGTCAACTCTTAGTTACATTTGAACTGCAACATGTCCTGTACGAGGATTTGTACTAGCTTACTAATGCGACGCAAGAAATTCATTCTTATTCACGGCAATAAGCTCTTTCCATCAAGCTGGTAACAGAAGAAATAGGTAGATAAAACATTGTCATGCTTATATACTTGAGGTAATATATGTAAGTAATATTTGTTTGATGTTTATCTCAGAAAATTCGCAGCTTTGAGTTGGAGGATTATAAAGAATTTTGAATTGTGATCACCAAAAGCTGTTTTATGAATTTAAATATCCAACGCCCATTACATTCGGTAAATCTATTGGTTAAAATTATTTGGCTGGTCCCGAATACTGATCACTCTTCGAGTACACCTAAACAACCAGACGCTCATAAACTTTCGAGATTACACATCCGTCTTTTGACGGACATACCACTTTTACACTTTTAGTTAGTTGCCTAAAAAAACCTAGCATTTCATTTTCTGAGTTGGTTATTGACAGCCAAAGAGATATATTTGTCAGCAGCTGGACACAAATTCATTTGCATTTTTAATCACCACTAATCAAACATTTTCTCATTTTATATATATTATTATGAAGTAACTACAGTGGAGCGCCGCCTTTTGTTCGACAAAAAATCGGTGTTTGCAAGCAATGAATGACATATCATGAACGAATAATCATGGGCCACTAAGATCGGTTATAGTGCAGGAGAATATACTAAAGCCGTTTACTCTCGGGTATTTCAATATTTTCATACCCCGAAATCTCTAGTATAACTATCGTGCTACATAATTCAAACACAGAAAACAGCATTCCTATAAATGTTTTGGGTTTCAGGAGCTCAATGTTGTTTCCCTAACATTTAGATTCCATGAAATTAAATCTGGGAAGCAAAATCTTAATTTTTGAACTGCTTACAAGTTTCTGCCTGAACAAAGTTATGGTCACAAAAATATCCGCGTTGTAACTGAGCTTTCCTGATTAGCGTTCTCCTCACCAAAAATACTGGCAAATATTCAGATCAATCTCGTTTGTCGTTCTCTTCATTATATGACAAATTTGCCTCCGTCAAAAATAAGCTTTTTACAGTCGTTAAGTATGATGTATAAAGAGGCCTTTCGGTCAGTCTCACGTAATCACAATGTGAAAACAATAAAATTGATATCAGTTCAAATCTTTTGTTTACAATATTTTTGCCGAATGGGAAATTTCAAAAATTAAAGCAACTTGGTCCTAATAATGCTTAAATGAGCGTTCTCTTTCCACCATGAATTGACTCATCAGTAAATTATCTTTCCCGATAACATTTTAAAAATATAATATAACAACGAGGTACTTACCAATCAGTTTGGGAGTCATCAATCACTAAGAGTACCTTTTGTCTGTCCTTGGTGGATTTACCTGTAGCCATACTCTGTGCTGTGGATGCCGCAGTACTGAATCCGCGCATGATTGTGCTTGAAATCTGCCCGGTGATGCTGCCCATCGGACCCATAAATGAACCCATTCCACTCCCAGTGCCCGCTGCCGCGCTTCCATAGCTACGTGTTGGTGATGAAGGGGCACTAGGGTAAGCTCCTCTTCCTCTCATTGGCATTCGACTGGGGCCATCAGCAGTTGCTCCGCCTGTCCCAGGCACCACGGCTCCTGCCGTTTGGGCAACATAGCCTTGTGACATTCCTGTGGACGTGGAATCTTGTGGACAATAGGGATACTGTTGTTGCAATGCACTGGTTTGAAAGGTTTGATTTGGTTGCTGCGGTGGTTGCTGTTGTTGTAATTGTTGTTGCTGTACTTGACTTACTCCTGCTGTTGTCGTTGTCGTACTACCAAATCGGAGGAAACTTGGGAGACCCTCCTGTTCCCGTTTATCAGCAGCCTCGCCTTGTAAATCTCCGGAGGAAAAACGGCGTTTCAAATAGGTGATCATCGTTTTCGTACGTTAGTCTGTTTTCGTATTCCCGTGGAAGAGGTCAATCTATGTGAGAATTTCCAATAATCGATACTTTCAAGTCAGGTCACACAGCCCGGGCAGTAGATTGGGTTCTACAAGTATCTGAGAAGGATTGAGATTTGTAATTGTTTACGGTACAGTAGTTCTACCTACGCTCCGGGTCATCTATCTATAGACATAAAGAATTTCGCAACCCTATTGGTTGATTCGGATAGTTATCGTCACGAGAAACTCACCCGAGGGAACTCGACTAGTTGGGGAAGGAATATTTCCATCTGCTGAGAATGAGCAGCCCAGTGATTGGTTCACCAATGCAGTGAACATTTTCACTGTAAGTTGATTGGTCATTCGTATCGACGAATTTGCTGCAACTAGATTTTTGTCTGACCTCATGCTCTTGAGCAAGTTTGGTTTTTCCCGATTTGAGTACGCTTTTGCTTACAAGGGGTTTAACAAAGATAGACAATCGAATCAATAAAATAACTAGGTGTAATCTGTAGTGAACTCAAATTGATTTATTTATCATGCTTCTATGAGCAGCCAATCAAAATGTGACAGAACCGAATGAGCGTCCTGCGCTCGCGATTTCTCATTCACTACTCTGCTTTGTGTGAAAGTGTGCGTTGCCAGTTTATCTATTGTGGTGATAAACCCCTCAAAGCGGCTGTGGTTTTCACGGTGCCCCGAACTGCCCGATCATTTTATGACATTCATCGTGTGGGGCTAGAACGGAGAAGAATCAAAACAAAACGATACACATTTATCTGTCGCGATCTACTACATAAATTCCGTCTGGGAAGGAACGGAGTCTATCTACATGTACACTTAATTAATTTTTATACATGGTTTGACAAGATATGGATTGGTCAAAAGTGAATCATTTAGTTAGTTATTATAATTACAATGAAATTCAAAAGTGTTCATAAGAACGGTTACCATTGGTAACCGGACTTTGACTGCACAACAACTTTTCCTCACAACATCCCTTGAAGGAGTGGGAAACACTTACCTAAATCACTTCATCTTGTATGTATCGTTTTATCGATGCGCTCCGAGCCTATTTCATTTACAGTTCAGTCAAAATTAAGTGCCTTCCTCCTTTCTTCTGAACTGAAAAGATTAAACTGTTTGCTCATCCGCCCATAATAAAAAAGAGGGATGAAAATTATTTTGTTTCAATGGGTGATGCCTGGCGTGCAAATTCGAGACTATGAATGCCGAATAAATTTTTGAATCAGGTAGACTGATAAATGAGCTTGTATCAGTTCAAAAATCTGTATCTGCACTGCGTCATCAGCTGCAGATCATTCTCCTCCGAGGTTATTCTTATAAGTGTTACAAGCGCACAGTTTATCCTTAACAAAGCCAGTAGTTGCCAAGGTGTTTAATCAAACCCTAAATATCGTAATGCATCCCAAAATTCTGAAGGTACAAACAAGTTCTTGATCTTATTCGGTTGCTGGAAAATAATGATACCTACCCATCCAGCCTGGAGACAAATTGAAGATAGTAAAGACATAATCCGATACTACACGAGCCGATGCCATTCTCGTTACTATATCGTGGCCCTCATATGCCAGCACCCGAGGAGAGTGTAGTTCTTTCATTATTTTCTCTGCAGTTCCAAGCAACGATCGATCAGCATGTTTCATCAATCAATCGAATAGGTTATATGTAAAAAGGGATGTGACGCCTAGTAGAAACGAGAACAAATACCATTCTGACTGCTATGAGTGTTTAGCAGGACCAGTCAGCGACTACTACAACGCACAGGTGTATCATCAACATACCGCTGGATAACAGCTGACCATAAGAATATCATTAACATTCCACACCTGTGATCAAACAGTTTCGTGTCAAATTCATTCCGTAAACTGAGGACAGTTATCCGTTCAAATCACAAAACAGTTAAGATCGGATTATACCTAAATGAGGACACACGTGAAAGGAAAACGTCAACAGAGAGGGCGATTGCGCTGTTCAATATCACTGATGGCGTAAATAAAACATGAAAGAAATTTGTTGCTTCATATTGCTTGTTTCGCTGCTATTCAATTCCCGAATCGAATTGCAAGAAAACTGATATCCCTGCAAAATCCAAATCCAAATTTGATTCACATAAGCTACTGAGTGGCGAGAGAACAGGAAATAATGGGCAAAATAATCGTTTATCTAACTCGCTCAAGTCGCTGAGTAAATAGTTAATTGCCTTTCAGTGCACTACTTACCTGAACTAACAGTTGCCTGCGTACTACATATATATATATATATGTGACAGTGATAAAGGGAGTTAAACAGTTGTAGCGCACAACAAGAATAACATGTGTATATTAAAATTACCTTTACCAAAAGAGCTAACGAAGGAATTACTTTGACTACACGAGTATACCCTTATTATTCGATAACGGATTCACAATTTTGCTCCCAGTTAGCAACCTTAAACCTATAGCCAAATGAAAGACCTAACAAGTTCCCAGAGAATGTGTAAAGGATTGGGAAGGATGTATCAGAAACGAATGTCCTCAAAATCGTGTTCCTAATGTTAACCAATCCAATGTTTGGTTTGCTTCCCTGCGGACAGCTGTGCTAACTGGTTCAGATGAGATCTGCTATAAATATATATTGAATATGTATGAATTCTAGCACTATGACAGTGATATACTATTAGTTGCAGCGTTTACAGTTGACTTTTATAATGGTGTTCACTCGTTTACATATTACCAACCGATTGTTATTATGAAGAATGTTATCCAGATTCATTCTGTGTACGAGAAATGTTATCATGTCTATAATGCTCCTTTCAATATTTCAGTGAGGTGTCCGGCATATTTCCAGTGAAGTGGTTGTCCTCCAAATAATTTCTAATTTCAACTCTGGATAAAACATTCACCATGGAGATAAAGTTAGTCGATGATGTGACGGTTTCACTGAATTTCACGGGAAAACTATAGCCCATAAATCCAGTGTTTCCATAGAAAAGTGAAGACATGCCACATAAATAAAATTATCAACTTTTGGTGCAATAGCTGTTTGAATTTGAACTCCCTTATCCTTCATTTATCGACCTATAAGTGTGGGAAATCTGTTCTTCGGATATTCACATTTAAATTGGGCTGTAACCCAAGAACTAGATACATTTCAACTTCCTCCCTCACTGTGTGAATTTTGCATTCCATATTCTGTATTGACTAACCCGGTGAAAATTTAGGCACCGTAATTTCATTCAAAATTTTGTATTATTTAGACTTTTCAACTTAATACTAAAGTCAATAAATTCAATCGTATTATTTTATCTTCTTTTGGATTGCAAGTAACATGAGTAGTAAGACGAAATGTCCACTGGAATATAATTTTTTCTTTCGGATTATAAGATTAGCGATCCAGATAACATTACTTTTTGAGAGGATGCCCAGAATTTTAAGTACCGAAATCAATTTAACAATCTGCTTCTTTTACCTTCTTACACCTCACTTAACATAACTTTTTCAAACGAGCAGGACTGGGGTGGGACGCATTTTAAAACTGCCCTTATGGAGGACTAATGCCATTCATAGACTTTGTTTCATTGATTACCAATAGGATTTCATCTTAATTGCTCTTGGCCAATCACCAAAGTGTGATAATAAATGCGTTTTGCACTTAGACCATTTTACTGCCGTAACATTGCTCCGTTCTCAGGCTGTTAATTGCATGTGAAATGGTTCCTCATTATCAAAGTCACATATTCCACAGAATTTATTCTTTTATGAACCATTTACTTCATATGTACATGTTAGTACCACAGCCGTTGGCTTGCAAGATCTTTCCAGA